TGAGAAAGGGGTTTACTAACAGATTATACCAAAATTAGCTCTCCTAATCCATGGGGGTGGTCACACTATGCTCTCCCGAAAGGATGTTCACCCGAAGCAAGTTCAATATCTCCTAAAGCATCGCATTCTCCCCGTCAGCGTCGATTATCGGCTATGTCCCGAAACGACACTCGTCGATGGGCCGATGCGCGATGTGCAAGATGCGTTCATCTGGGTGAAAACGAAGCTCCCCTCGCTTAAACTTAGATCATCGTCATATCTTAGCATTGATTCTGATCGAGTTGCAGTTGTTGGCTGGTCCACTGGTGGAACGCTGGCATTGTCGCTCTCGTGGACGATAGAAAGCTCACAACAAATTCGGCCGCCGGATGCCATTTTATCGTTTTATTGTCCAACGGACTATGAGGATCCATGTAAGTTTCCCGGATTACCACGGCTCATTTGTTGAGTGTGCTGCTGAACGGCTGTGTCTATTTTAGTCTGGAAGGGGCCCAATTTCCCTTGTAATTCGCGATCTTATGCCGATGAAGAGATTGATCTCTTAGCCGGAGTCTCTCAACGACCAGTACGTGTTCTCTAACATGCGTGTGACAAGTATGGCCGGTAGATATGCTCATTTTAGTCAGATCACGGCCTATAATGTTCCTCCATCCAAGAGAGCAACAGCTGGCTGGATGTGTCCATCCGATGCCCGTTCCAAAATAATCCTGCACATGAACTGGCGCGGCCAAACGTTGCCAGTCCTCTGCAATGGCCTCCCCGCAAAGGCCGGCGTCCCAGCCGACGAACTTAAGAAGTATGAATGTCTGCCCCAGCCGAGCCCGGAGCAAATCATCGAGATCAGCCCATACGCACAGATAGTGAGAGGGAAGAGCAGATCACCAACGTATCTGGTCCATGGAACAGACGACGATTTAATCCCATGGCAACAAGCGCAGCGGACGTACGAGGCATTGAAGAAAGCAGGGGTCCCCGCCGGGATCAGTTTATTGGAGGGCCAGCCGCACTTGTTTGATCTGTTTAGCGATGCAGATGGGAAAAAGTGGCAGGCGGTGGTAGAGGCATATGCGTTTGTGTTCAAGCATGTTGGAGTCGAGATGGGGCGTGTGGACTAACGAACTACTTAATGGAGGGAGGATTGTTAACTAAACCTTTGAGATTTTGGGAGAGATGTCTTGGCATCCAACTCAAAGGGTTGAGCACACCATAGTGCTTTTTCATACTTGTACTTAGGTACAGGAAGCCTACTCTCCCAAATATATGTACAGCACATAGACTATTGCTTCATGGTGCTTCTATAATTTACTCAATGTTATCTTGACCCCTGCCGAGATCATTAACCACCCTCCAGCTCTTCACACAGCAGTTCTTCTCTTCATCGACTGACTGTCATTGCCAAAGGAAGATTAACCCCCTATTAAACTCTCATACACGGTGTTTAAGAGGAGCTAGCTCAATTTTAGCCCATGCCGATCAGATCAGTTCTACAACGCGTGCAGGGCCCTGGAGGTTGCCTTCGCTGACTCTGAGCTCTCGAGAGAGCACAGAATACTCCGTACTCCACATAATAAATTCTATCTCCTGACTTCCCATCATTCTCAGGCGAACCAGGGCAGAGCCATGCTCAACAGATGGTAAGAACCGTATATTGGACATTAATCCGTCTTTTAAAACGGGACATTAGTTTATGTAACAATCAATTATCCGATCAATGGCAGCCGAACATCCACTATGTAACTGAACTACGCCCCGCGTGCCCCAAGCAAGCCTTCTACTTTTGTCAGGGCGAGACTACTGTGTGAAAGCAGCAGCGCCACCAAAAGGACCAGAGATGGCAGTATTGCGAACCCGCGCAACACAAACATTCTTCGCAGATCCAATGGTTCCCGAACACTTCATCCCTTCGGGCATCTTGACCTTGATCTCGAAGTCAGAATTAGAGCTTGTGGAGAATCCAGCCACTCCTGGGACGTTCTCAACAACCTTGGCTTTCTGGAAAGCGCTGGGGTCCTGGCCGCCGGATGATGGGTCGATCTCGGCTACGAGGGGACCGGCTCCATCTTGGTTCACCTGAACATACAGAGTGTTAGCGCTAGCTCCCTTGATCATCAAACCTAGGGTGATCTGCCTACCTGATGGTAAATCATCGTGATCATTCCGTCAGAAGATACTGTAGGCAGTCCCCCAGACCGGCCCATACCGGAATGTTGTTGGACTCCAGTCTCCATTGTTCCTCTCGGAGTTACAGATCCGGAGGCCATTCCCGGAACTGCTCCCCCAAGGGCGTTCCCAACGTTTTGGATATCTGAGGATGTTTTAGTCAACGTCACCCCAGAAAACAGAGGCTAAATTATATACATACTGTCCACGATTGGTCCCAGCGGGGTCGCCTGAACGAGATCTTGAATGCCTGAAGTTCATTCATTAGCTGTGTCTAAAGCAGATATTGGAAGTGAAAGCTCTACCATTGAGTACTGCGCCAGCCGGGCCTGTGATCGCAGACGCTGCTTCATTCAGTAATTGGCGAGCTATACATGTTGTTAGTCCCTAACCACTCAGACTTCGCATGGAGGATCAGAACTCGCCGTTTAGAAACTCACGAGCGTGTCTGCGCTTGGAGTTGCTGCCCATAAATGCATTCATTACGTTTCTCGGGTCTACAGCACCGTAGCTAGTACGGCCAAGCGCAGATGCTCTAGATCCCATCTCACCGGGTCGGATGATCGCAGTGTCCTTCTGCGCACCGCAGGCCGCAGAAGCACACCCGCGTGGTGTCCCGTCGACCACTTAAATCAACCCTGTCAGCCGTCGATCCACAGGACATAGTATTAAAACGTTGACCAGTTGGAAGGGTAAGCAGCTTACCTGTCAGGCCGGGCATGTTGACACCATTGGCGCCCTTGATGAGGGTGATAGTGCCATGAGCAGCAACCTTGCTGCCAGCTACCAGAGCTGAAAGAGCAACAATATTGGAGAACTTCATTTTGAATTTAGATAGAAGGGAATTAATATTAAACCTCTGAAATGAATGTAAAAGGCCCTCAATAAACACTAAACATTAAGAAATGAATATACGGAGAAGATTGTATGGCTGGCGCTGGCAATGAGGATGAAATCGAATCCTCATGGGATAGCATCAACATGGCTTTATACAAGTCCCCATTGCCTCAACATCACATCTAAGAGACCTTGACTCCCAGAAGAACAGGTTTCAAGTGTAGACAAGATGTGAAGGTGTCCGCTCAGAGGTGTGACATCAGTGTTGCTCAAACACATCGATCGATTATAAAACAGCAGGGGGTATGCAACTGGACCGCTAACACCTGATAGACCGTGTTTGTTGTGCACTCGACATCTCTCCTAGATCCGACATGTGCTCTTTGTGCCTCTGTAAAAAGGGCCTGAACCAGGAGAAGATAGCTTTGCTTTGGGTGGTTTCAAGTTGAGACCTACTGTTTTGACACGAATTGTGTCACTTGTGACAGCACCATCTAAACTTACGGGTTGCTCGAGTGTCGCAGAATCAAAGCTTGACAGTATTTCTTGCATATCAAAACGCTCGGCCGTGTCATAAACATCTTAAGCCTGTTTAACTACTCCGTAGACAGTCTCGCAAGAATTGAATTGCCCCTCGTACTATATGCGGGGGTAGATATTTACGGAGTAACAGAGACTAGGTGCCCCTTTTGCTTCAGCTTCCCCAAATATTGAAGATAGCTCTTAACAAAGCACTTGCACCCCTTTCCGCCTCAAGAGTCGCACGTTAGAATCCAAGGGTATGTGTCAAGCTACTGCACGGATCATTCAAATCCTGCCTGAACGACGCCGCCAACATCCAAGGTTTTGCGAGACCTCCAAGTTTGTACGGCCATTAAAGGAGATATTTAATATCAATTCCATATTGGACTGAGCAAGCTTCATTCACTTGGGTTGTTGCAGTCCTCAAATTGTGCATGTAGTGAGTATGCTACGTTGGTCATGATCAACTATGACATCCTCGAATGCTCTTCGTTAGCTCATCCCGAGCTTTCTTGGACCTCAACCCTATCATTGTCCATGGTTGAGCCAGGGAGTTAATAATCTGAACGATGTGGCCCGGACACTCCAAAAGCAACCGGAAAAAAAAAAAAAATGAAAAGAAAAGAAAAAAAAGGCAACTGTATTTGGGCCTCTGATCAAAGTTTGACCGTTGGGTTCAAGATAGCATTACTGGGACAGCCGTTGTCAAAACACCTATCTCATAGCTCTGATTAGCTTCAATTCCAAGCCAGATGTTCGTGAAGACCAGATTTAAAGGTCAATAGGAGGAATGCAAGTATCAGAAGTCCATTAAGATCATCGGGACAAGGCATGGAATGCCCGTCCCTGACATAAGAGGTACCAGAAACATTGAAAAATGGGATTTATCATCATGTGAGGGAAAGTACTCCGGAGCAAGGTGGAAAAAAAAGCATACCTTCATGCACATGTAGTGGAATCCTGTCATGAAATCCTTTACAGGCCACACTGTCTCATTGCTGGGCTCAGATGCCACTTGGCAGTGTCGGCCTGTCTCGAACGCGACTTTGCTGTGTTTACCGACACTTTCGAGCGCTGTGGGAAAAAAAGGAATTTTGGGAAGGAGAAAAGTTTTCAGCGAGAGAGAGAATGTGCCGGCGCAGATCTTGCTTAGCTCAGCTGGGCTAATCCTGATATGGCTTGGCGTGGTGGGGACCAATATCACGTGCGAACCTTACCTGCCGTGGCGTTGCACGCGTCGTCGAATCATTTGTCGAATCAGAGGCAGGATGCCAGAGCGTGACGGTGACAAGAGATTCTATCCGTAAGAGCGCGACGATCGGGTAAGAACCAAAGTGAAGTTAATTACGAACTTTTGCTGCCCCTCGATACATATAAGAATAGCCTGGAACTGGTTATCAACTCCTGGGCCTAAGTTTACTCCTCATGGTCCTTTTCAACAGAAATCGTCCGTTGAGCAAATCGTCCAGAAGCGACCAATTATGTCCCTCGCCGCTCTCATCAATGCTGTTCGCAACATTGATCGTGGCCCTGCCACCGGGTACGAGGCAAACAATGACAAGCTGTTGCTTCGCTTTTACGATGTACTAATGCGAACCTGGCACCTGGGCTTTACGTCCTTCGGAGGGCCTCCTGTCCACTTTCGAATTTTCTATCAGCGCTTTGTAGAGGGTCTTGGAGGCAAAACACCATGGATTGATGAGCAAACGGTGTGACATGAGCTTCCTGTGGTTGCTTACCCCCTCGCTGGAATTCTTGCACTGATATGCATGAACGGTGCGTGAAACAGTACCAAGAGCTTTTTGCCTTGTGTCAAGCTTTGCCCGGCCCTGGAAGCACCAAAATGCTCTTCTGCATGGCCCTCATCCATGCCGGCTTTCTTCCCGCCATAGTTACCTTGCTAGCCTGGAGGTCAGTGCTCCTATATTTTTTTTTTACTTTTTTTTTGAAAGACGGATAGGTGGCGGCTAATTGTGCCCGAACAGTTTGCCAGGCGCCGTGGGCATGTTTGGACTTTCGCTGGGAGTTCAAAGACTGGATGAGCTGTTACCAGACATTGTATATGCTCTTCTATCTGGCTTGAATGCTTCAACCGTTGGCATCATTGCATTGGCAGCAGTTCAAGTAACTTCCCCCCAGGCACATATATGGATACCACAATGCTAACACAGATGGCTTCCAGCTAGCGGAGAAGTCTATAAAAGATAACATAACCAGAATCCTTGTTATTGGCGGAGCGTGTGCCGGGCTGTGTTACAATGCCTTGTGGTACTTTCCAACGTTAATGGTAATAGGGGGCTGTTCGACCGCCGTATGGGACCTTTACGGTCGACGAAATGTTGCAAAGTTGCGCAGGAAGCTCCGCAGGCAAGACAGAGCTGCTGAGCTAAATACTGAAGAAGGCACTGCCCAAACAAGTATACCACTCCAACAAGCGTCAACTACCACGGGTGTACAAAGACGGACGGTCTCAAAAGACGATGATGCACCGGATACATCCGAAAGACATCCAGGCCCTCCTAGTGAGTCAACTGGAGATTCTATCCGTGTCGATACACAATCTCATTCTCTGTCGCTGAAATGGGGTATCTTAATCATCGTGGGATTTTTCGGTACAGTAGTCCTTTTTACACCAAGTGGAAAAGGTTCATGGACTAATAAATATTCCAGCGTCTTTTATCGCGATCTTGGTAGTACGAGGAACCATGGATAAGCCACCGCTTGAGTTGGATCTCTTCACAAACATGTATCTGGCCGGAACCATCATTTTTGGTGGTGGGCCTGTTGTTATCCCCCTTCTTCGAGAATACGTCGTGGAACCTGGCTGGGTCAGTCCCAGGGACTTCCTTATCGGTCTAGCTATCATTCAAGCATTCCCCGGGCCGAATTTCAACTTTGCGGTGTTTCTGGGGGCATTGGCAGTAATCTCAACCAGCTCTCCAACGATACTTGGTGCCTTTTTAGGATACATCGGTATTTTTCTCCCCGGAATCTCATTGGCCGTTGGATTTCAGAGCTGTTGGCGGGTTATAAGGAAGTATCCAATTACGACCAGCGTGCTCCGCGGGATGAATTCAACGGCTGTCGGACTCGTCTTCACGGCCGTTTACCGGTTATGGGAGATAGGATACTTGAGTTCCGATGCTTCTTCTGGGCAAAGTTTGGGAAAAGAACCTTTTTGGCTGGTTGTGGCCGCACTGACATATGCTGAGAACGCTTGGTTCAATGTACCCCCTGCTATCGCAATTATATTTGGCGGTATTCTAGGATTGTGCTGGTACGGCGCTGTGGGAAGATAAGCATGAATGATAGTTTTGGGTAGAATATTGTGCTCTCGAAGAGGGACCTGAGGCAACCTCAAAGCGAGCTCTGTACTCCGTATATTGTTTGAATGCCAGCAGATAAACCTCGATCTCCAAAATGCAGGCGACAAACCTTGTCCGTAGCGGATATTTGTCGGCCCGAGGACTTCTCGCGCTTTCCCAGGTCCGACTACCTACCTAGTCCGCAAAGGATTAGCCTACTGCCACGTCCTTGTCTTAAGCGATAAGTCACATGACAACCGTAGCCCTAAATTGTTCGGCGCGCAATCTTCAACTGCGGAGTGCGAATCTGCCTTTGAATTTGTTCGACAAGCGCCATACGATCAATCTACGCCGCCACGCCGAGTTCTCCGCTAGGAAAACACATAAGGATCATTCAAAATGGGCCGTCTTCACAGCAAGGGCAAGGGTATCTCCTCCTCTGCCATCCCATACTCCCGCAACCCACCCGCCTGGCTCAAGACCACCCCCGAGCAGGTTGTTGACCAGATCTGCAAGTTGGCCAAGAAGGGTGCCACCCCTTCCCAGATTGGTGTTGTCCTCCGTGACAGCCATGGAATTGCTCAAGTCAAGGTTGTGACTGGTATGTATGCCCCGACCCCTGTGGCGGCTGATTCGGGAAGGGAGCAGATCCAGCTAACACAACTCGCGCTGTGCAGGTAACAAGATCCTCCGCATCTTGAAATCGAACGGTACGAAACAATATACGACTCCTTTGCACACATGAAATATAAAATGGGTAGATGCCTGGATGGTTGGGAATGAGAGTTTCATTCCCGGGTCCCACGTCATCTATTTCTATATACATTTCATACGACATTGTATCCAGAGACCTGGACACAAGTCGAATGTCAACACTGCCTCTGCTTGGTCATAGATAGGCTGACAGAGAGATCTTTATCATGAATAGGCCTCGCTCCTGAAATCCCAGAGGACCTTTACATGTTGATCAAGAAGGTATGTTTGCGCGCTCACTCTTCGAGCGATATATCTTTCCACATTCACTACATCTCGTGAAGCTCTCACCTAACACGTATGAATTCAGGCCGTGTCTGTCCGCAAGCACCTTGAGCGTAACCGCAAGGACAAGGACAGCAAGTTCCGCCTCATTCTCATCGAGTCCCGTATCCACCGTCTCTCCCGCTACTACAAGACCGTCGGTGTCCTCCCACCAACCTGGAGATACGAGAGTGCTACCGCCTCTACCCTTGTTGCATAAGCGGCGATCCTGACACAACCGGGCGTGGAAAAGTTGAACTCGAAGAATTTGGTGTTGTGCAGTGGAGGACATGCGTATGCTACTAGTTTTACTGGGGAAAAGGATTCATAGGCATTATGGGATTAATGTGAATATCGTCCCCAAGCGTCGAAGGGTTACTTCTTCGAAACTTGAGGGGTTCTTCCTCATCCTGATTAGATAGCGTCTCTTCACAGTCCAATATATCATATTCTTCACAATGAAGGTATTCTAATGCCTTGTCCACGTAACTTGATTCAACTTATTTTCGGCGAAGCTATTCAACTATGAAGCCGACAACAAAAAGGGTATCGAAAATCAAAAACAGATGCTCAAGCATACGTACCCCCCCCTACCTGTAAGAAGTGCCAAAATATTACAGATACCTCACTTCGCGGGCAACAGCGTTGCACAGCTCAACCCTTACCCCTGCTCCCGTTAAAACATGTATCCAAAGCCTCTGGGAATCACTCAGCCGATCATTCAGCGACTTCACTTCGACGAACATCACCTCTTTCCTCTCCATACTCCAGAGGAAAAGATCCGGAACACCTGACCCTCGCTGCTGATACTCTTGTGCCATAACTTTGCATATAGTTGCCAGGGCCTCGCCATGAAAGCACTGAACAATCTCTACGAGGTCCTCCAGCCCAAAAGACCAGTCAATGCCAATGGCACAGGTTTGCTTTGGGCACTCTCGTTCATAGACTTGCCGGAGGAGTGTCTCAGCCTCACCATTAGATATTTGCGCGAGGCGGTGATTCATTTCCGAAATCCGGGAAGAATAGAAAGAATCGGTATGCAAATCTAAAGGGCATGTTTGAAACGGAGTTTGGAAAACGCAAGGAACGAAAGCGAAGATTATATCGTAGCATAGCAAGCCAAACTGAAAGTAGCGTTATGGATATTAGTTTTCCTTGCCTTTGAGTAAAGAAACAGGTGGTATCATACCAGCGTACGCAAAATACCACCTTCACAGTGATATCCTTTCCACCCATTATCCCGATACCAACTCAGACACATACTTTCCACTCTGCATTCCCCTCCACCTTCTCTCTCGTCTATCCAGATTGTAGGCCTGCCTCTAAAGCTGTAACCTCCAGTTGGTTTTGAAGTAGGCTTGATGGGGGGATCCTTTTCCACACGAATACCCTCTATGGTCCTCTCCTCTGGCTTGGTTAGCATCACATGACTGAAATCATGCTGCTCGCGTTTTGCAATATTTAACGATCTTTCTAGCTTCATGATTCGTTTTTGTAAATCATAATGATAGATAAGATGACAGTCGGGGTCTTGAAGACCCTCCTCGCAGGTCCTAAGGGCATTCCGTTTCCATTTCCTTTTCTGAGCCTCTTCTGAGCGACCCTCGAATGGTGCCAGGCTCCACATGTAATGTTCTTCAAGTAGCGCCTTGCGTTGGTACCAAACTCCCCGTCGCGATGGGTGAAAGAAACGTTGCTCCAGTAATTCTACCAGGAGTTCATGTTCTTTGTTATACTCCTTAAACCGACCTAAGGCATATAGACCCTTGTGAACAATTCGAGTATATACCCAGGCAGGAGAAAAGCGTCGTAGGTATACGATCTCGCCAAGATCATTGCACCCATTCTCTCTGAGGTGCTCTTGCTTTAGCAGAGCTTTCCATCGGGGATATACGCTTCTCGACAAGTCTTTAATCTTTTGCAATTTGTCTAATATCGTAAGGTTACCAGATTCCATGGCATTATCAAGATCGAATTGGATCCGAATAGCGGCCTCGAATTCAAGCAGTGCTGACCTTGTCGGGAATATGCTGTTTGACCGTAAAACGATGTACTCAGGATAGTTCCTTCGTGATATCTTGGCTAGGATTATTGTAGTCAATGATTTTTCAGACCACTCTGTGGATCGATAAAAGACAAGATGCACACGCTCAAAAAGCTTCAACGGCGCCGAAGCGAGTCTTATGCAGTCACCGATGTGGTTTAAAATTTTTCTGATGAAAAGCTCATTAGTAGTTGTCCGTCTCGTGTGGCGGCTGGATGGGTTTAATCCAATTTCGGGGGAGCCATCGTCATCCAAGGTTTGTGAACGAAGCCAACCCAACCCAGTTTGGCTGCTTCCAGCTTCCTGGAGGGCTTTCAGTAAGTCTTTCTTATTTTTGCCTTGAATTTTTGCCTCTTTTGCGAAGACTTTCAACTCATCCAGAAAGAGTAAGGATGACGCTTCTTCGAGAGTGGTTATCTCTTCTATACCTTCAGCAAAACGAAACGCATCGGTAAGATTTGCCTCTACACACGGGGTTACTCCGTGAACACACTGTTCTACCGAGTTCGATGAAGCTGGAAGATATCTTGTCGCTCTTAACTCTTCAATAGCGGTAGATATATCTCCGATGTCATGGTAATAGCCGAGTCGATCGATGCGATGCCAGGCAGAGGTTTTGCGTAAAAACAGTCGTACATATCTGAAACCAATCAATAACCATCCTGCAGCCGTATTCGAAGTACACCGGAAGAGATCAATTGAGCATGAAGACCGCAGGCTCCAAGTCACAGACACCTACAGATATTGAGATTCATAAGACAGCGATCGCCAATAATTGAATAAAGCAATCTCCTTTTCATCAAACAGATGCGCTTCATCCTGCAAAACGCACTGTAGAGATAGATTAAATGCATCTACGTAGATGGAGCTTCTCCCCTTTACCCACAGTCCATTTTCGTATCGCTCTTGAAGATCCGGCTCCGTCGATCTGGATGTATTGGAGAATTCATACTCGTCTATAGCCTCTTGATCCGTTTTCACCGGAGGCAGACTGGTCTCCAATTCAGTTTGGCTCGGTCTAGAGTCATCTTCATCATCAAAGAGATCGGGCCTGTCCCCGACAGACTCAGAGGGCGATAATTCAACTTTCTTACTATCTGAGTCTGATTCGGCTTCCGGTTCTATGCGTGTGGAGGAGGAAGGTTCGGGATTCTCTAATCTTCGAACTCGTTTTCGCGCAGGACTGCAAGGCCAATCTCCCATAATAACAAAAAAAAAAAAAAAAAAAAATTCGCGACGTACTAGGTATTCCAGTGAAAATCCAATATCTGATTCTCTCGCTCCGCCCACAAACGTCGTGTCCAGACAGTCGCGTCTGCTCAGGCTGCGCTACGCGTCAATTGTTAACAAGATCACGTGCATCACTTTCCCAAGACGTGTCACGGGACTCGAGCTGCTTTTGTTTGCATTGTTTGCGCTGATCGTCATCTCTGCCGACAAGCGGAAGCTTGACGGACGGGAGGGATTGATCTGCGTCGAGATTCCGCAATTGCAAGTTAACAGGGACAATGAGTGGATCCTGGCAAGGCCCATATGACTGACGTACCTTCCAATCCTTCCTCTTCGACAACGCAGCCAGCTGGGTTGGCATCTCCGACTTCCCTGAGCTCCAACGTCGCGCACAAAGGCGCGTCTCCCATCATGGATAACCAACAACGGGAGATGCCGTCTGCATTGCAGAATAACACGGTACGTCTCAGACACCAGGCGTTTTACATACCAAATTGACTTGTGCCACCTGCATCCCCTTTGTTCTCTTCGAATGCATAACCTCTCTTTTCACATCTGTGCTAAAACTATGGCAGCTCTCAGAGCAGTTACCCAGCTCTGCTTCCTCGTCCCACTTCCCTGCTGCTCCCAATTTCACTACTGCGTCCTCACACGACGGTGTACCTCCCTCGCAACCAACCCCGACAGATCGCGACGTTGTAATGGGTGGGCCAGCAATGCGAAGCACCATTCCGGCGGTCGATGCGAACAACGTTCCGGCTTCGGCCATTCCACAGGTCAGAGCTGGCGGCGCTCCAGCGCGCATATACCTGAACGAAAAGATTGTCCCTTACTTACTTGAGGGGATGAAGCCGTTGGCAAAAGATCAGTGAGTTCTAATCCATTCCTCTACCGACGCATGCCACGTTTTGCCCTTTAGAAACTTTGAATTTGCATGTTAGATATCGGCTCTGAATATAAGCTGGAATGAAGTAATATAAAAAAAATATTTTTCTAATGTCGACTAAACCTCTTCAGGCCGCCAAACCCATTGCGATTACTCGGCGAATATCTTATTGCGAAAAGTTTGGAAGTCGGAGAACCCTCGAATGATCGGATCTCGAGTACCTGATGATTGGCTGGTTGTTCCTCGCCGACTTGTATCATGAACTGGGATTAAACCGGAGAGGTTTCATCGTTTTAGGACCTTCCTGAAGTCACGAAAAGAGGATTAATAGCGAATCTAGAAGACCACGGCTCATGGATCGAGACCGGTCTTCGGGCCACGCTAATGTAAACGGAAAATAGTTTGTATGCTGTAATGAAGATCCAGCTAAGTTAGAAATGACTTCATCCCCCGATATTTGTTTTCTGATATGGACCGCCAACCGGGGTTAATGGGGTACCCAAACAAAAAATGGATGTACATGCATACTATGTCAACCCGCTCCAAGCAACTGTGGTAAGACTCTTTTTGTAGTTCCCCTTTTGTGCCCATTCGAATGGTAAAGATACGCGGTCCCAACTCGAATCAACTCTAGTCAGCGACTCCATAGTTGAAACGCTTGAATTTCTTAACATCTGAGCAAGCATTATCTTATGCAATTGAGTAAGCATACCCTACAGGTCAGGTGCACTGGACAATAACACGGATAGCCGCAAGACCGATGGGCAAAAGGCAAAATTGCTTGCTGGTGACTGATTGAAAAGTTCATGCCTTCAAACAGAAATCCAATCTAAGAACATAAACCAAATTCATGTTCCTTGAAACCGCAACAAAAGCATAATATTGCCCAAGGTCGCTTCGCTGAAAAGAATAAATGCAGTTTAGAAAGGCAGAAGTCCATTAGTCTGTTCTCTCATCTCTCCCCTCAGTGGAGAATTCGCTAGATGATCTCAAAATGGTCGCCAAACAGTCGTATTCATTTTTCAATTCCGGTGGGAGATAGTCGCATGACTGAGATTTACATGATCGCTGAACAAAAAATGGTGTTCAAATTAAGGAGTCGTACTCGGTCGAGCCGATGACATTGCAAGCGGCTTGGGAAGCCGGAATAGTGTGATCATAATAGTATAGCATGGACCATACTATGAATATACTCATGCATCAGCAAAATGTTGCAATCCACATTAACTTACCCAACTATTCAATGTCGATTAAGTATGCCGAGGCATCAGAGCAGAGACCTTGGGGTATTTGGCTGTATAATCCCGTCAAAAATATCGGTGGCAGGTATGTTGATGTTTGTTTGATGACCTTGAGGAGCTGCCGTTGAAACCGACTGAAGTTTACAATTTGTCTGGCTCACGTCCGATGGTTTATTTTAGTGATACCGTTGGCCGATAGTGATCGACACTACAACACAACGCTTGCCGGAACTGATGAACGTGCCAGACCCTTATTCAAAAATAATCTGGCGCTAACTTTCAGGTACTGGGGATGCATTGACGCTGTGTTCACTTTGGCCGAGTAAGATGCAGTCGAAATCTGAATCTGAAACGACTGAGTCGAAAAGCTGACAAAGCTGACTACCGATAAGGACCATAGCTGAAAAGAATAATAGGGCCACAAGACATGTCGAAGATAATACAAGTGAATCCTTGCTTCCGCCGCCAATGTTTCGAGGTGTTTGAAACGCAGCTTGCTTGATCAACTACATCAAAGGAGGTCGCTTGATGCAGGTGTCAATCTTGAGCTGCCATGCTCCCGAATCCGTCGACATAATTCTTGACCATGTGCGCGCGAAAAAAGAAGTTGACTTTTTGCGAGATAAAGAACAGAGAAGCGCCGCGCCGTAACCGTAGAGAACTGACCCAGCTGAGGATGTAGACATAAAACCCATTTCAGGAATACAAGGGGGAATAGAAGAGATGTAGGGTTATTAAGAAGAGATGGATAAGCGGTGAAGAAACACAAAAAGAGACCATTGGAATAAGGCACGAATCGCCACGAGCGACGCTTGTAGCGAGGCCCTATTGCCAGTGTGAAACTTTGAGTTCACGAAACCTACCTACCTGGCGCCGTATCTGTCATTCCAACGGTTATCATAAGAACGACTTCCATATGGCTCACGCGACTCACGTTGGGGGGGTGCACTAGCATAAGCTGACGCGGCTTGAGCGCGAGCATCATCACGATCATAATAACCCCCACGACGGCGGTCTTCGCCTCGAGGACCATATCTCTCTTCACGTCCGGAAGTCGCGTATCGATCTACTCCACGATAGCCGTAGTCATCACGGTAATCACGGCGGCCATATTCACGGCTACGTTCGTTGTAGGAGTCGTAGCGTCCATGTCGATAACCATCATCATGGCGGCGACCGTAACCATATCCACCTCGTCGGTCATCATAACGCTCGAATCGTCCACCTCGCGGTGGTCCACGGAAATCTACATCATATCAGCTTATCGCCATAAGGGTTGCCGTGAGTGATCTACAAACTCACCGCGCTTAGGAGGCCCAAAGTACTTCCCCGGAGTTGGCGTACGGGGTCGGTTACGGCGTGCCTTTTCAATGCTTAGAGTTCGTCCTTCTATGGACTCACCCTGCAATCCTTCCTTGGCAGCCTCAGCCTGGTCAGATGTAGCCATGTTGACAAACCCAAAGCCGCGAGATTCCTTGGTATGCGGATCCAACATGATGGAACAGTTTTGAACGTCACCGTATTTCTCGAAAAGGCGGGACACGTCGGCTTCGGTGAGACGAGGGTGAATGCCAGTAACAAAGAGGTTGGTTCCAGTGTTGGCAGCGCTAGCATCGTCATCCTTCATGCGAGCGTCGGATGGAGGAGCACTATGGAAAAATCAGCGGCCACGTAGGTTGGAGAGGAAAAATGATTAAACCCACCGTGCATCACCGCGGCCGTTCGGCGACATGCTACGGTTGCGAGTAGGCGCGTGGCCGTTACCCCGAGGAGACGCGCTGCGATCCCGGTCATACCGGGTTGCATCTTTGGGCGATGTTTGTTAATGCGATGCTTCAAGCAGCCTGACAACAAACTCCAAGGACCTTACCATCATAGCGACCACCTTCGTTCTCGTATTCCATGGTGGTGACGGGAGAAAAATGACGAATGGAAGAATTGCCACTCGGTTCTCTTTTCAAATCAGACCAAGCTCACTGAGTGCTGGTAGGAGTAGGGGGACGAAATAAATGTATATGCAATGAAGAGGAACGTGCAATCTCTGAAGACAACACAGCAGCAGAAGCCGGAGAGAGAAAAGACGAACGGGAGGTTGATGGCGAGAGAGTGAAGAGAGCTCGTCGGAGAGAAACAGGCGCAGCCAAGAAGGGAAATTGTTAGTCCGGCCAAAACGGGACTAGCGCGCTCTCAAGCTCAGATGTCCGGTCTTGGCATCAAGCTCCTGGATAAATCCATAACGGCAAATCTTATTTACTACCCTAAGCTACTGGTGTATGGTATCTCAAGAACTACAAGAACAGCGCCTTGCAAACTCCGTCGAAAGAGCACAAAGTTATTAGAGTACATAGTCGACAGAACCAAGCATCAAAACCCGTCAATCCTATCTAAATCCACGCCAACGCCGCCTGGTCCTTGGCCCCTTTGGCTGGGGCATTTCCATCCTCCCCGGCTGATTGGCACCCTTGATGCCGCCAGCATCATTCGGTTGTTCTGGGGCTCCATTATCAAATTCATCGTCAACTAGATGACGCAACTCATCTTCGTCAAGTTCGCTCAGCTCTTCGCTCATACCGCGTAGCACCTCGCGCCCTGTCCACCGTTCCTCGTGAATGGTAGTCCCAACGGGGTCGAATGGCTCCATGTACCACTGAATACCACCTTGCGCCAAAGGCGGCTGGTGACTATCTTTGAAGCTCGCAGGCGGGGTTGGAGGAGCCGCTTGTGCTTCAATATCCTGTGGTTTAGTGAGGCTGTCGGCTGCTTTGGGGTGATTTAGGGCCGTAGAGTCCAACTCGCTTGAGACAGCACTGACGACTGTTGGAGGGGTGAACACTGGAGGGTGGTCTAGGTTGATTTGGTGTGAGCCGTCAGTCATCGCAGCGTCCGTCATTTTCTCTTCTCCATTCATTTGCTTCAAAACACCAATTTCTGTGGATATTGTTAGAGGTTCATCGCCTTTTTGTCCAAGATCCACTGCATCCGTCATTTCAACATCCACACTATCATTGCTGCGGTTGTCCTGCCCTTCAGGATTTGATCCTATACCGTTCGGCATTGACGCGCCCATGCAAGGCTCAGCTAGAGTAGCAGGCCCCTCAATCGAATCGTAAAAAGAGCCCCTTCGAGAGAGCACACTATTCTCGAGCATGAGATCCAAATCTCTTAACTCCCTTTCGTACGGTTTACCGCTCAGTTCGCTTTCCTTCTTCAAGGCATCTTCCAAAGCTGGTTGGACGGCTTTGATGATCCGTTTTGCGAGTTTCCGCTTCTCACGCTGCTCCAAGCTCAGTTCGGGGGCCCTCCCGCTGATTTGCATCTGTAGCTGTAGCTCTGCAGTATCACCAACAGACTCAACCCCAATTTCTGAGGTGAACACATGAGCCAGATCACGGGAAAATGCCGAAACCGATGTGTAACTCCTATTTTCCAAGTTCGAGCGAATCGAGAGTAGGCCCACACGAAATATCCCTTTTCCATCGAGCCTATGTTGGACTAGTTAACATAACCAATGATATTTCTTTTCCAAGTTCCAAGAAAAACGGGGGACTCACGCCTGTACTCTCTCAAAAATCGGCCAAATCATTGGCAAAATAGGGAAATATACCAAGTCCACAATATTTCGAAGTGTTTCGGCGTCTTTAAGCTTCTCGCGTTCTCTTTTCTTTACCTCATCGCAGAGCATGCGGACCTTATCCACATCTAAAGACAGGCGATCGGCGAACTCTATCCGTCGTTGAAGTCTTACGCTTCCGGTGGGGCCCATCCCAGCGAAGTTACGTCGCGTCATTTCCATCGAAGAGAACGTTTCTAATTGTAGTTGTAGTCTCTTCAGAAGAGCTGCCCCCCTTCTTGCCTCTCTTTTCAACGTCCAGTATTTGCAGGCATCCTCAGCATACTGCTTCCGTTGACGTACAGTAAAACGCTGTAAGGAAACAATCACGTTATTCAGGATAACCTGGGGTACAACAGGAGCCCCAGATGGAAGTTTCCACACCATTTTCGGAGGCCCAAGCCGTTTGCGTTTGTTACCACCCACGGTCAACGTAATGCGTGGAGTCACAGGTCTCTGGTCATCCTCGGCTACTTCACCATCGCCCTGAGGCTCTGGCCCAAGAGCAAGGGCAGCTGCCTGGCTGTCGCCCCATCGCCGGCCTTGCATCGTAGTACGATAGTATTCCATGGCATCTGCAATAGCACCGTCGGTATTATACTCCCTTCGCCAATCTGGAGGGACATGCCGATCGCAGAACGCCTTCAAAGAGTTAGAGTCCATAATCGCAGGCACTCCCGGAGTCAACTTCATTTTCAAGTAGAGCCGCGCCCGCCTCCCGCAAGTTACGTGAAACGCAGCAAAACAGTTTTTGTTGCTACATTGAATACATGCACCCATCTTTTGCCGGCAGATGTAGCATGTTAGCTTCCAACGGCTTCTTGGGACCTTTTCTACATCCAGCACAGGCTCCATGAGAGAAGGGTTGCCGATCGACACCTCGGGAATCCAGACAGCACATAGAAGATGGGACCATTTCGAGGTGTTTGTCTGTTTAAAGGCGCCTTCTGTGTTCGGGCAAAAAATACAGGATGGGGATCCGCGACCAATCAGCTGGCATTTGCGGCAAAGCCATTGACCTTCGGGTATATAGGGAACTCCGTAGCATTCCTGATGGACAGCAAGATCGCAGCCATCACAAAAGACAATAGCATTAGAGTTCTCGCAGTCCCCGTCATCACAGACAGCACACTTGCTATCTTGCTCCTCGCCTGTGCCAGCATGTTCGCCATTGACCGCTGCAGCAGAGCTTGAGCGAGGTCGCTGAGTTTGTGGTGGCTTAGGATTAGGTTTTGGGATTCTTTTTTCGAGGGCATACCATTCCTTCTCAATCTTCGTCATGGTGATCTCGAAAATGGCCGGTTTGATTGGCTCAAACTGGTCAATTCTCCTTTGAGCGTTGTATGCTTCTAGCCATTTGGCATCTTGTTCATCCATATCATACTCGACTCGCCCAACACCAGTGTTTCCTACCGCAGCATTCCCAGAATCCCCATCAGTAGCAGTGGGAGGATCCAAATCCAGGTCCTCTTCGACGACATCTTCGGTCATGCGAATTAGGCGCCTCTCGTGCCGAAGAAAAATATCACTTTCCTGATAGCCAACACTTGCCATTGTGCGATCAACATAGTTTTGCTGCCCTACACCCTTCTGCTCGAAAGGCAAGAATGGGTCCTTGAGAGCGAACGAAGGCTTGGGCAAAGTAAGCTTCTCTCGAGGATTGGGCCCAGGTGGAGGAACTAATTTGGGCAGTTGGAAGGGAACCATGTTGTTCGACATATTATCTCCTCGCCGAGGCCTTCCTGGCCGTCGTTTGATGCCCGGCGTTGACGCCGTCGGCGTGGACACGATCGAGTTCTCTGCTTCCATAACACCATCACCATTACTCATATCTTGCAGCATATCATTTTGTAGAACGCCATCCACCTCTTCTGAGCTGAAAACCGCTATTTTGGCGTCGATATCAAGATCGGGATGGAACTCTTCCCAGCCTCTCTCCTCTCTCGGCTTGTATCCATCTCCCTGCGCAACAGCAAGTACAGCAGCGGCTGCAGAGCTGAACCGACGGCCCTGGTTCTTTTCGCGTCTTGGACGAGTAGAGGCAGGTGGCGTTGCCGGGGGAGGTGGAGGGGGCTTGGGGGGAGCTGTTCGAGGAGTTTCGCGGGGAGGCCGACTACGGGATGCCGTTTTGTTCTGACTAGCGGAGTTTACCGGCCGCACGGGTGTCTCCGTGCCGTCAATTTCCACATATCTTCCACCACCTCCGGGGCCCCCTGGGATATATTTGCGTCGTTTTGGCGGCGGCTCGCTGCTAGGCTCGTGATCCGTGGCAGGTGGATTTTTCAACCGACTGCCACTACGAGGCTTAGGGCGGGAGCCAAACAGTTTACGCCCCATAATGGCAGAGCTATGGTGTCCGGTCTGCCTCAAGGAACGCAAATGTTGGCTTTTGATAGTCCAGTTTTGGAATAGTTCGATAGTTGCCCAGGGAAGTTTCACAGGAGATAGGCTATAAAATTCGAAACTGCAACATTGCCTAGACTCTGGTGCTCAAGAAAACTTAGCAAGGAGGAGAAATAAAAGGAACGTCGACAAACCTCACGACCCCGAGCTGGCTGTCGCGATGCATCGCGGTGAGTTTGGCTCGAGCGAGGGATGGTTTATCATTATGGAGCACAGTTCTAGTCTAGCCTCATTGGGAAAGGTACGTGCTGCCAAGCCTCATCCACACTGCTGAGTAAGTTGCAAGTCGCTCGAGACGGCGTCGACCTCGATGTGAACTTTGAAGCCTGTTTTTGTTTCCTACGAAGCGCTGCGGTGCAAGGATGAGCGGTGCCGGAGACGATCGGTACATGAACATCTCTGTTTCTATTTTCCATTTGGTTTTGCTGACCTAATTTGTTTGACTAGATGGCGTGGTGGTCGCGGCTATGATCCCAATCGCCCAGCGGGTCAGCGACATCACAGCGCAGGCTTTCGGGACCGATCAATGGGTGGCCATCAGCAGGATCGCCATGGTCAGCGAGGACAAGGCAATATCATGAATGCAGGCAATGCCTGGGGCGGACCCGCACAAGAACCTCATATCCCCGTCCGGGGCTTCAACGGGGCCGAGCTGAAAGATGCTCTCAGAAAAGGTATACTCTTACACGGTGCCGCCTGCATGATTATTGCTCACAGAGAGGTTCTGTAGGGTATGAGCCAGCTGGTCCAGGTGGTATGCTATGAACCTCCCAAATCGGCGCCCAACAGCGCCTTGAACATTCCTATTGACATGAACCTGCTCAAGAACCCCAGCCTATGGCCTACAAATCTAATGGAAAGGATGCGAACAACATTCGATCCAGTGGACCTTGGGCATCAAAGCGTAAGTTGATCGTATACCGGTGTCAGCACGGAGCCCACACTGAAAGACACCAGCAAATACCATGGTAAACGGCAAAGACTTCTTCCTTGAGCTTCGAAAGCAGATATCCGGCCTTCAGCAAAGCGGAAACGTCCCTGGTGGCTAAATCTGCTTATCCCGTTTGGTGGAATAAGGCGCGACTGGGGTGCAGCACTGTATGTGGCCTACATCGACAATCATGTTTCCGGTTATATCGGTGCGCTCTGTGCAGAATGTAGCATAGCGTTATATTTGCACTCTTCGATGCTTCATGCTGTGGGAGCGTCGAGTAGAAAGCAATACAAGTAAATACTCTCAATTTTCCTTGTAAGCCGGCCCACTGTTGGACTTCGTACTCCGTAAATATTTGTGGTTCTTGAAAAGTGCTTTCCCTCATGTTACGAGAAGAGTCAATAGGGCGTTTATGCTCATCCGAACGTTGGTGGAGCCATTCGCTTGGGCTGCAAAATGCTTCCCCTTCTAGGCTCTATATAGTTATTCGATCCTCGTACAACGCAAGACCGGAGAAAAAAAGTAAAACAACTATCATACAGTACATATCTACGGAGTACATATGCATGATACCCCCTCCCCCTGGCGACATGCCAGCTGGAGTTTGGACCGAAAATAAGAACCCGAAACCAACAGTCCGAGCGCGGCGATTCGGTGGGGACCGTCCCTTGAACAGTTCCCGTCTCAGCATCCAGATCTCCTCTCGACGTCCATGCACCTTGTCCATGCAGCACATGCCTGTTCATCAACCCTGCTAGCGAATGCAGAGACGCGGAATTCTGTCATTAGTTACACTGCAGCGGGCAACACCCCATGCTGGCGCTTCGAACCACTATTTTTATTTAGCGCTCTAGCCTCGTTCCTCTGCAGGTCAAGCCGTGGCGGCCAATAGACGCTGCAGCAGCAAAAAAAACTACTGGTATGATACGGAGCACTGTGGACGGCTATTTTTAGCCGTGCACAATGCAATTAAAAAGTTAAAGAAGATCAACTTTTGAGCAAGGAAGACTCCTCAATGACCACCATCCCACTTGGCGTCTCCACGAGAAGATAGCCGCGTCCGCTGGGCCGGTGGCCCACTTGCCCACGATCAACGAAGGGAGTTAATCGGTTCAAATTTCGACCTGTCATTTCTTAGCCTTCCTTGTGATTCTCGTCGAGCCCTTCGATCTTCTTTTCTGAAGCCTCAACCGAGCCCATGCAGGTCGGAAAGCGGCCGGCGGCTAAACAAAACCACCATTGGCTTCGATGTTTCGCGCCACAGCGGGCCGTCCGCCAACTCTAAATGCGCGGAGGATGATCCAAGTCTCGAAACTACCGATCCTCTCCTCATGAAACACGGACAATGTCAGACGAGACAGTAAATAGCATCGGATTCCGTCTAAGCGCTGACAATGAATGACGGGCGGGCTCGCTGGACCGATGTGCAGAACGGGCAGAAGTCAGGCTTTCAGGATTGACCGAGGTCTCGGACTAGGTAACCCTGGCCCATGATCAGACTAGTAGGGCCGAACGGGTATTATCAACATGGGTAGAACAATGGTCAGAGCTGATTTGGTCCTTGTCAAGTTCTTCTTGGAGACCTTGTGCATGAAGGGCCCCTTGGCCAGCATACAGAATATCGAATCTAATGGTCAGGATCCTGGGAGCGTCCCGATTTAGTCCTTCTCCACGTTCCTGCTTCAACACTCGGGAAGCCCAGTGTCTCGGCATGCAAGCAGAAGAAACACGATGCTTCTCCAACACAGATCCATCACGGGAGAATTTGAGCTCAAAACTGGCTCTTACCCCAAGCACTGACGGTCTCACCCGTGGAGCCGCTCATTCTGCAGCCATCCACCTAATCAACGTCGCCTTTCCGGCTGCGACCGCCAGACGACCGCCTACTTACCAATCATTTTCAAGGATTCGTGTGGCCCAGCGCTTGTGTCCTTAACAATCGGGATCCATGCTAGGCAGCCTGGAAGCCAAATCACCCTCCACTTCCTACATGCTGCACTTCGATTACGACACCGACGCCATCTGCTTTGCTAGCTTCTCTCGGGGCGCCTATCTGTTTATCTTTGGCTAGATGAGAAGAAACAGTCTAGTTTTTTTGGTGCCAAATATGGAACTCCGATGCTAGGTTGGTACGACATGATCTGCATATGCTCTCTGCACTAATAAGTTCACCCGTCATATAAGGATGGGAAGCCCGTCTTCTACCAGCTATATTATCCGCCCTTTCCATTATTGGCTTTTTGCCTTGCATCCTTTCTAGGCTCCTTTCTTCAGAGAACTGGCTTTCCCTGAACCAAGGTGTCTTGCATTCTGCCCTGCAAAAAGCCTCGATGCTGCCTTAAGAATTTGCGGCGTAGGAAAGGCCATGTTAAGCAAGGCTGGTTCTGGCTCTGTTGTCATTCTATGTTATTTATTGCCTAATTGATTTACTTTACATTCCTATGTTGGTCTCGTGTTCGTGCTGAATTATACTCTTAATTTTCTACCTTGATTTCTTGCCTATGCTTTGTTCGAAAGACCTCCCTGACATATAGTTCCACGGAGCTCCAGTTTCCTCTAAACTTGGAATCGACTTTCTAGCCATTCTGGGTCATCGCATTACCTGAGAGAGCACATTGGGTGGCCCATTTCTCAAGTACGGAAGAGTGAACCCGCCCTTTGTGTCTCTTTTTGGTTTGCAAAAAAAGCACGAACTGAAATGCCGAAGCAGACGCCGTCGCGAGCCTCTAAAAGATCAGCACCATATCCCTCATCGAAAGCAAAAACAGAAACACCAGCAACACCAAAAGAGATGAATCCTCTACGTGCTTCTACCCCTACGGTCCCGCATGGACTAAATCCGTGGCAAGGCCATGGTTCACAGTCGCGTCCAGTCCCTTCTCATATTGCGACATACCCCGGTCGATTGTCAGGAGCAGAACGTCAGCCTGTCGCCTTGCCTAGCAGCCCTATGACTCCTACGAGTACTTCTGGTCCATGGTCGCCACGAGATGATGAAATCCTCCTAGCAGCACGAGCCCAGGCTCAGGGCTGGAACCAAATCCAGAGGGATCACTTCCCGTCCAAATCCGCTAATGCCTGTCGAAAACGATACGAGCGGTTGATCGCAAAACGCCGTGGTTCTGATTGGAATGACGAACGCATCGATAGGCTCGCGAATCAGTACATGCAAATGCGGGAACAGACTTGGCGTCCTCTCGCCGACGCTGTCGGTGAAAATTGGGAAGATGTAGAGAAGCTGGTGAGTGCTCCCCCGCCTCCCTATGCGGTCATAACACTTGCACCGAGTTGACATGGTAACTCAATAGTGCCTGGAACGAGGTGCTAGAACCCTACTTCCAACGCTAGGACAGCGTGAATTGCGCCGTGAGCATGCTGATCGTGAAGGCCGAGGTGGTAGCCATGACAGCCATGACGAAGAAAGACTCAGCATACATAATTTATTGCAATAAAACAACCTGCAATAATTTCATGATTATCCCACATCAAAGCATACATGTTCGGAATTGCAATTTCGCTTTTATTTAATTATTTTGCCATATAATATCCTCTATTCCCTCCTATTTGCTTTGCCTCTATATGTTTGCCGTATTTCTGAGGTTGTGCATCATTGGGGATGGTGGCCTTTTGTTCCTGTGCATTGCATCTTGCTCTATACATTTGCTCACTCTTTTTGTCTCGTCCATTTTATTTGATTTTGGAGCATCTGCATCTGAGGTCGTTCTGGCTGTTAGTTGGGAATTCGCTTTCTAATCTTTCCTTTTCCTTGCTGCGCCTCCTTTCCCAATAACAAGGCTTTTCAAGATGAGTAACAATAAATGGCGTTTAATGGAAGTCATAGTTGGCTGACCAGCAAGTTAGACAGAATTATGAATCGATGATAAGAGATAACTAACAGTTCTACTCACTAACCCGAGCTTAAGCACAAACAGCTACATTATGTATTATAACAGGTATAACATATTTTAATCACTAATATACACATCCAAGTAATGATTTAAACAAGAAAAGAAAAAGGAATGATATACATTAAATATGAGGTTAGATGTACAGTTTCTTCATTCTTCCCACTATTTATCTTGTCATCAATTACAATCCCCAGAGATTCGGTTTCATAGGCAGACAAGTGGCCATTTACCCAAAAAAAAATAGCAATGAACGCAGCAACTGAGAGAATTGAGCCGGCTGGTCCGGATCGAGACGTTTTGCCCTCGAAAACGAGGTGGCTTGGCGGTGCTGGAATATCTCCAGGGATTCCGGTAGGGTGAGGGTTAACTGAACCGGAGGTTATACAACCTGTGGGTACTGGGCTGATGTTGCTGGTTTGAATATCATCGGGTTTCGGGAGACCAATGATTGTACCTTGCGATGCGACGGAACTCTGAGCTGGAGAATCGTCACTTTCTGCACAGCTTGGAGACGAAAATGGCCCTGTCGCGCCTTCAATGTGGCACTGCTGCTGCCTAGGGAGGAGGCAGCCATAGAAGCTGACACCGTCGCGCCTGACATGGTTTGCGTGAATGCAGTCGGGCCAACGCAGCCTGGTGTGGTTGCTGGAGGAGCTACGATGTACAGTGTTGACTGAGGAACCGCACGAGATGCGGCAGTGATCTCAATCGCTAAATCCGTCTGCTGAAATTTTTCAATTCTCGGGCACACTGTTGTCGAAGTGGCGATGGTCTTCGTCGTAACGTAAGTTGTCCGTTGGGATGCAGGACAGTCGTACACAGTTGATGGACGCGCAGTAACAGTCACAATTTCAGTTGAGTAGACCGTGGATGTTGTGAACTGAGTGGGCTGCGCAGTTGATACTGGGCTCCCTGTCATTGAAGAGAGTGAAGTCATATAGACTGAGCTTGATGGCGCCGCTGAAGAATGGCTATTAACGGAGCTCCATTTGCCAGTAGTGACGGATGTGAAGGGCGGAGGAGATTCAAACTGGAGTGCTGTACTGGAAGCAATTCCTGGAGAAGTATCGCATGGAGTAGTTTGCGTTATATCTAAAGCCATAGCTGTGCGAGTTGGAAATGCAGACGCAGAGGTAACCGTCACTAGGGCAGTTGCACTGTTTGTCGGCGAAACACCCGGAGACGTTTCAGTCCCCGTCATCGAGGCTCCTGGGGTTATAGTTGAAACGACCGGGGTGGCCGTGCTCGTAGGCGCGATTTTTGTTCCCGTAACAGAAATGTCAATGGAATGGATAGTGGAAGTAGCACTGCCATCAGAGCTAGATGCAGAATCTGTGCAGGAAGTCGTTTCAGTCGCGGTGGCAGAGGAACTAAATGGAGAAAGAATTGGACTAGAATCAGCCCCTATGCTAGATGTTGTTGCTGTCGAATATATAAAGGGAGTGGTTCAGTTCCGATAGCAATTGTTGAAAGAGATAAGAGAGTATCAGGCACCGCGGTAGATGGCGTGGTCTCAGGTGCAGTGCTTGATGCAGGTTGAGCAGGAGCCGATGACCTTGTCTTGGTCATAGTGTTAGATGCGCTGGCTGCTAGTGAAACTGTTGAAAAGGTTCCACGTGCCCCACTAGACGCGATCGCCGTGGATAATGCGGAAGAGGCGGTCTCAAATGCAATACTAGAGTTGCTATCAGTGCGAGCAGCGGATGTAATCTCACTCATGGAGCTCGACATGGAAGTAGTCTCCGACGAAGTCGACGGGAGCTCAGAAGTCGTGCCTATAGCAGTAGTGGATGAGGCGGAGGAGCTTGTTACGATGGTGCTGGACGTGCTTTTCATTTCTCTGAGGGACATGACTAAAATCGACGTACTTGATTCAGAAGACGCTGTTATTCCGGATAATGTCGAAATTGTCACGGAAGTGGGAGTAGGCGTCACTGACGAAGCAGTGGATATAGGGCAGATTTGAGCCCCCGGCCCAAGCACTTCAACTTTATCGAAATCTATACTGAACTCCCTTATGCCATCGCAGTAGAATCTTAACACAAGCTTTTGCTTTGATCGCCGTGCAGTCCACTTCAACGAAACAGAATTCCATCCGGAACCTTCGTCCCCAACAAAGAGTTGTATGATGTTACCACTCAGCCAATTGGCATCGGTACTATTGTCGTCCTAGAAGAAGTTGATGATGCAGTCCTGACGCCCTATCTCCGATAGCGTCACCCGCCATTCTAACGAGATTTCATGGGAGGCACCCGCTTTTAAGCCCCTCACGGTGCTGGAGAGGTACCCTGTATCGTCGGACTTGAGCTTGATAGACTATATCACTCGATCAGACTTAAACTGATAATGTAGACTTGTCTAGTCTTACTAGTAGCGCTTCCCGTCGACCGCATCATTGATCTTCATCATCCCTCCAGTTGGACCAGTGAAAGACCATCTTCAAAAGACAAGTTGTCCGCCAACTGAGGCTCGCAGGTTCCAGGTGCACTTTGAAGGCCAAAGACCGAGCTCGAAAGGAGAAAGATTGACAGACTGCATAAAGGAACGCGCCATTGCTAGCCGTTAAATTATAAATAAGTAGCAAAAGAAAGAGCGAACATATTATGGTATCAATTATTAGCGATAACGAACGCAGAGGGCCTTCGCGGCTATAAAACAGGCAGCAAATCAAATGAGTGACAGGAGCGCATATACAGACATCATCTGTACATGGATATTTGAATGAGAGACCGAGAGATCGTGAGAACCACAAGAAGGCTTGGGAAAATAGCGGCGATTAGGATCGCTCCAACCAGACCTTTGGAAGTCCTCGTGCAAGATCCAGAGTCTCGAGCAGACGAGGCTAATTGCTTGGAAACCATAAAGCGGCTATCCTACGGAGTACTCGAGAGCCAATTTTCGCGGGTCGAATGGACCAATCTCAGCGGGTATTTCCAAGAGCCATTTGTGATAGTTCCTAGCTCAGCGAATCCGGGGTGGTCCTCTCGCGAAGCAACGGGGGAGGGCTAAAAAGTAGCATAATGGCTCCAGGTTAACTTCGATAGCAGCTGAAAGTTTTCTTGTGACGCCTCTCCGTATAGCTCCCCGGTATGGGTTGCAGTGAAGAGGAACAACGCTGAAGGTATGCAAAGTTTTGGAAGTTTCCCCTGAATTGGAGCGCGATTGTCTCTGGCTCTTCCAAACTTCCGAGGCGAGATTATACTCTGCTGAGGTCATTCAAGCCACATGCGCTAGACCAAATACGGGATGGGTCGCTCTACCACGTGCTTGGAGGAATGGCTCGGCACCGAAGCTTGACCTGATTTGGGTTGGCTCCGCTCAAGCGACAGGGACCAACGCCTATAACGCTAGAGAATGGGTGAGTTGGCAATGATAGCTGGCGAAGTCTGGAAGGTTGTTTCGAGGGCGAGTTCGGCAGGCCTTCGAACATTCCCCCTTGCAGCCCTTGTACGTTTCGCCTCTCAAGATAGGGCTCTATCTAGCTTAGTTCACCAGCGCATTTACGTTGTGGTTGGACAAGTCCTATGTGGACCCAATGAAGATCCACGAAGTACTCCATACTCCGTACGGAAACATGAATCACGGGTTGCATTCACAAAGCCATAGCGGATTTTGGGGGGATTCGGAAACTGTAGATCCACCGGTTCCGATACATGGATTTTGGGATCAACGTATATCCATGGAAACTGTAGAATCTTGGTATATTTTTATCTACATTTCCAGCTTGGAAACATTCCGCGCACTACTTTTGGTTTATCAACCATTACAAGTGGATTAGAGTGGATTACAGAGTATATTACATGACTATTTGCAAATTCACTATGTACAAAAATTGATCTAAAAATGATTCAACAAGCATGTAGGATCCTAGGAATCTAGGAATCAATTCAACGAACTTGTAGGATTCCTAGGGGTCTAGGAATTGATTCAACGAGCATGTAGGACTCCTAGGGGCCTAGGAATCAATTCAACGAACTTGTAGGATTCCTAGGGGTTCTAGGAACTGATTCAATGAGCATGTAGGATCCTAGGAATCTAGGAATCGATTCAACGAACGTGTAGGGTCTGAAGGTTGAAGGGATGAATCTATCAACAAAACCATCAGCAAATCCATCAATAATCAATCTAACTAGGTAATCAACTTAGCAAATCTCAGCAGCTAGGTAGGGTGGTTGATCGGTAGGTTGGTTGATTTTGGAAGGAAAAATCAACATGAAAGAACAAACAGAGCCCTTTGATCTTGAAAGATTTTCAAAGCTATACCATATTTAGTTAGGAAGCCTGATCAAAAACCTCAGCTGGTGCATGATACATTCCAAATTTTATATGTTTCAGACCCTTTATACGTATATGAGAAGAAACGGTTGCTATACTGTAGATCTACAGTTCTCAGTTGAGAAACTGGTGGTTGTCGGATAAACATTTCCCGAAGGTTGCCCAGAAATCTCATTTTTCCGGTATGGAGAGTATTCACCTTCAACATCAAGCTCCTCTTGTTTGGGCATTAGGAAGATAGGAAGTAGGAAGAAAAGACCCGATTCATGGCCCCAATCTCCACACATTTTCCCCTCTAGAAACGACAGTCGAAGAAGCACTGCAATCCTCACCGTCGATATTTCACTCTCCATGTTCCATATCCTTGTTGAAGATGACACGTAAGCAGACCTTTTTTTTTTTTTTTTTTGACTTCCCTTCTTCCATTCTGCAAAATTTTGATAGGATTTCTTTTTGGGATGAAGAAAAGGGGCTAGACCAACAGCCCTTTGAAAGATCAATTGATGCAATGAGCTCCTTGGCGGGTCAATAAAGTTTTGTGCTTTGCTATTTTAATCCACAGCCACTGGGGATTCAGAAAGGAGTTTCTATGCAAAGCTTACTCCGTAGAGAATGACAATTTTCGCAGCCTTTGAAAGATTGTGGCGATAGTATTATTGATAGGGAGTACGGAGCAGTCAAGTTACTCCATGCTTCGTCGGCAGGTTTACGAAACTGCTTGGGACTACTACATACAAAGTGTACCTCTGTAGTGGACCGCATGGAGTACGTAGTGGAAGAAGGATATTTCGCCGAAATTGACTTTTGAGCTGTTGCTTCCATCTATTCGCGGCTCGTTGATTCACCTGCAAAGCTTCAATTGGCCCAGCGAGCCATAACAACGCCAAAGTTTCATGATGCGATGGGGAGAAAAAAGGAGAGAGAAAAGAAAAGGAAAAGAGAAAGAGATAAATAAATACCCTGCCACATCAACATGAATAGCTATCACTCCAAGTCGCCGTATATACAAAGTAATAATACAATATAAAGAACTGCTCTGGGGTATCATCTCGTATGAGCCGCATAGAATTGTAGGAAGCACAAATTGTTTCCATCCAGTACCCGTTATTGAACTCTCATCCAATCGTCAGGACCTAGTATTCCCCCATCATCTGCCTTAGTGTCAAGTGCCCATTTCCTCAAAGCTCGACACTTCAAATCCGATTTCCATCCGGCTTCAAACATCTCAATCCCAGTCCAACCAATCATCGCTGCATTATCCGTACATAAGTACATCGGTGGCGCAATAATTTCAACGTCGGTAAATCCACGAACATCCAAGAAAGAACGAAAAACGCTGCGCAGAAACTGATTGGCAGCAACGCCACCGCTAATAACGATTGTTTTCACGGGGCTTCCAAGCCCGGGGAGTCTCCCTTGGGCTTTTCGACGCTCCTTTTTGCTCCAGTTTTCGATATCTGGCTGCTGCAACTTCCTTAAGGCGAACACGGTTCTAGAGACAAGGTGCTCGAAACAGACACGCATAAATAATCGTGATAGCGAAACCCGGGCATCATGAGGAAGCCAGTCGTCAGTTTCTCTCTTGGCCCCTTCTTCCCATTTAGTCCTATGGGCTTCAAGCTGCTTTTGAGTCGTCGACAATAATCCTGCAAAAGAGAATGCTACTGTCCGTGTTTCAGCATATGGCATAGTCAGTGACCAACCCCATCTGGTATCTTCATACTTCTCAATCTCTTCTCCACGATTCGACGGAGGTTTGTAATTTGCATAATCTACCTTTCCATTCGGAAAAGCAAATGTCTCAAGTGCTTTTCCATACATCGTCGTTCTAGACGCTTCAATATAAGATGTAGGCAAGGCCATTCTCGCAATTTTATCCAGTGCATCTCCTATCGCAATGTCGACAGTTGAGCCGAGGATCTCATGCTCGATAAGGGACTTAGAGTGAACCAGCAACGTATGACCACCAGACACCAATATAGACAGGAAAGGAAACTCCACTCCTTTGAGCGTTGACGCTGCCTGCGCCTGCGCCTCAAGCGCAGCAACCAATCTTGGAGTCAGCAAATGCGCTTGCATATGATGTACTCCCACCAGAGGAACCTGCCACGCCACCGCTAGCCCCTTTGCCGTATCCAATCCCGTTGATAAACTAGATACCATTCCAGGACCTCGAGTGACGGAGATAAAATCTGGCTTTTGCCTGCGGACGGACGCGCTACCGTCTGTAGATTGAATGTATACGGATTTGACGTTGCTGTCCCGTTCGGTGGCTTGTGGGAGGTGTTGGAGCGACTTGTGCACTAGTTTTGCGAGGTTTTCTTGGTGGGAGCCTAGGGCTACCATGGGGTGAATTCCCTTGTATTCCCGCGAGTCTGCTGTGACGTTTTCGAGGAAGTGGAGGGTAGCCGTGCAGCTAGACGGAGGGTTCGCGCCATTTTTTTCCACAATCGCGACGGAAGAATCATCACTGGCAGAAGATTGGCGTTAGTATTCAATAAATACATAATCTGACAGATTCCCATGAGGGAAAAAGCTACATACCATGATGATTCAATGGCGAGAGTAAGGAGCTGTCGCTGCTGGGCGTGGCGGACAGCCGTTGAAGCTGTCTTAGAGCGGAGTAATACTCTGCATGCTGTCCTCGAAGAGAATAGCATTGGTAACTCGGATGAAAGGTGACAGGCACCGCTGTATAACTGCTAATCTAACATGGACTCGGGGAGTCTAAGACAGGGTTTAAGCTTCACGATTTTTAGTTTTCGACATTCGTGTTATCTTATCGCCGGAGCCGAGCAGCCCAGCAGTTACTTCACGGCCATCGGTGTGCAAAAGCATTTACTTCAGATGACGCTTCTCTATGGAGTACAAACAGGGGAAATTCACTTCGACAAAATGTTTTCATTCATTCAAAACGGAGAAAATAACTATTCACTGATATTGTTCGACTCGCTCAACATAAGTATATTCCACTTAACGAGTGCTCCACTGTACTGTCAGCCTGAAACCTGGTCAAACCATTGACGACCGGTCACCATCATGTCCACCCAACTCCACCTTGATTCCTGACGCCGGATCCGTTTAGCTGGGGCGACTTATCCACTCACTCGTATTCCTATATATAGGAAAGGTAACAGCCCTTTCTAGGAGTGACGGGCAGCCGGACACAACCGATCTCCGTGCAGGTTCGCCAGATTCGTATGTCAGGATCAGAGACGCCACATCGCTCCGCCACGGCGGGAAAGAAGGCGACCATTGACTTGGGTCCTTATCACCGCGTTTCATAATGGCATATAGAATCGTTCCAACAACGTTGGTTTCTCGGCGCGGCGTAAGACCTGAGAGTCCGACATCTTTCACTGTCTTATCCCTTCGATTGATTTCGTCCATTCGAGGAAAAATCTTTCATTCAATCACGAAAATCTCGACCACCGTCTCTCGTCCCTGCTCATCTTGGCGTAAGTACCGTAGTACTCATCGGGATTTTCGATCGGAGTCACGCAGTGGACGGTTGGCTCTCCATTGAATTGGATCCGCCTCTTCGCAGCCAAGTCGCTGTTGGCAGCACTGCTCTTTTTCAAAATACTCTTGGCAGTGCTAGAGTTGGTGTATGCGAAAGTGGGCTGCTGCGGTAGGGGAGACAGATGTCCCTGGCTTATTTTTTGGTTGCGAGCAGTGTTAAGTGCTGTTGGGCTGCGTGGTGACGGGGAGAGTGGTGTCCTGGGCATGGCCATCGCTGCTGGAGACGGAAGGGAGAGGGATGGAACACCGGTGGATGCGGTGTTGATCTTAAGGGAGAGCTTGGGCTTTGCAACTCGAGTAGCGTACATTTTGGTGAGGAACTTGTGGAATGTGTTCTGGCTTTGTAATGTTGAACGGAAGAGGGATCTATCGAATAATAGCGAGGAATATATATTCTTTTAATAAATGTGTGATTTCAAGAGGCGCCGTGAAGCAACGTCAAGCAAATAAAACTATTTTTTCTTTTTTCGGTTTGCTATTTTGGTAAGAGTGGATTGCTAATGTTGGGACCAGCCAACAACAGAACGAAATCCAGCTATTAATAAAAAAGTAGAGTATGTGAAGTGGAAATAGAAAGGGGCACAGTTTCGAGAAAACCAGTTCTCTGCACAGTTGCTGGAGAAGAATAACAGTTCCAAATATGTCGCGATGGGTTGGGGGTCAGGGTTATTTATAGGCAGGGTAGTGCAAATTTAGCGTCACAGAGAGCGGTTCTTGGCGACTCACCACTGGCCGGCGCCTCGAGGTGATATGAATCCTTGGATTTGACAGCGTGAGGGGAACGGCTCAAGACGGTCGAAATTCAACCAGCAAACCTCTCATGGCGGCCAATCGGGCTGCATTCCCGCCCTCTCAAGACCGCAGAGAAGGTCGGGCCGGCTCTCACCGCTCCAGTGAACCGGGTTCGTTTGCTCTGGAGGCACTCGGTACAGGCATCAGGATAAGACGATAAGCTTTCTTATCACGAAGGCATGCAAGCCATCTTTCGTCAGTCTGGCTCCCATTGGGCAAAAGATGATCTCAACCCCTCTTTTTCAATTTTTTTGCCAGGGACACGGGAAGTGAATTTGACGTATCCCAAGGGAAGAGGCACTAACGCACTGACTGACGCTCTGGTGGCTGGCTTTGCAATTTTACTTCTCGAAGTTGGCTGAGATATTCTCCGTGATTGGTTGAGAGACGTTCCTGCGCGGGGAGGGGCTGTTTTTCGCATTTCATCACCATTTTCTCGCGAGTGACCCCTCCAACCGTGTCAAATGCAACTGGGGAACCAACCCGGTCACAAAGTCGAACTTTGCTGAGCCAATCGTCAACACTCAAAGAGCTGGGAAGCCTTTTTGCGCACTCGGGCAAAAAAAGATCGTTGTTCATGTTACCAACAGCAAGAGCCCTCCCGGTTAGCGAAGCAGTCGCCAAAAAGGCGCAAGGCGAACTTGGCCCGGAGTCTCTTTCTTTGATGATGGACTCATCAAAAAAAGAAAAGAAGGGAAACGAGAAGAGAGAGGAAAAGAGGGTTGGTTGTAATTCGTTGCCCGAGGACCTTGCGGCCCTGCGGTTTTCAGCAACGTATGTATGCGCCCAAAACAAGGTTCCTCGATATTTTCAACATGCCCAACACAGGATTTACTGGGTTGGCACTGGACAACAAGACGGAGTATTTCAAAACCATTTCTAGAAGTTTTGAAGAAAATCTCACTTGAGGAGCAAAAGGAAAACCCGAAAGGAAATTTTCGGAGAGCGCAAATGTGATGCTGTGTCTCTCTCCTTTTCGGATCATTTTGTGCACACGGAGTAAACCGGCTGCGGGGAAACTTGGCGTTCCAACGGCTTCTCAAATTGTTCCAGCAGCTTTGCCGCTATCGGCAAGTTTATCCCCGGTGTAAGGCACGTATGGCTAGGGAGAGCCGATATCGATAGAAGCGGCTGGGTCCTCCGTCCCTGAGCCATTTATTGAATGGAGCACGGATGAGTGGCACATGACATGCAGAAGAAGATCCTTCCAGGGAATGAAGACGACCATGCAGATGTCTGATTCTGCCAATCCGGATGGTGGAAAATATGTATAAATATCAACAGTCGGTTTTCTCAAAGGCAAGTAACGATAATCCGCGAATTCAGGTGCTTCCCAAGCTCCCGTTGTAAGAAAGCTTTGGTTGGAGCTGGGAAACTCGGTCATTGGACATTTCGGTAAAAGAAAGCCTCGGCCGAACACACGAGGAGGTTGTTGGGCCGGGAAAAGGAGGGTATTTCTCCGCAACGGACTCGGGAGTGCTGCTAGCACGGAACAAGCTGCGTTAAAATGCCTGCGGTGGGTCGAAAGCTTGCTCTCTTGGGGCTTGGTGGATCGCGCTTGGATGTCTGGCTTGATCAGCGCCAAAGGAGCCCAGAGAAGACTTTGAGAAGAAATTGACATAGGAACAGTATGCATGTTCAACATGACAGTCCCATACAAAGTAGTGCTATGGAAAAACAACTTGAACAAGAAGTTAATACACATATGCATACAGACACAAAACATTAAGGTTTTTCGGCGTTTTATAGCCGTTGGAAACAGGAAACACAACAGCCACCTCCCAAAATTCCTAAGCACAAGTGACTTTTTCTACATATGCCTAGGCATTGAGCACGGCAAGAACCAAAAAATTCTGGTAAAGTTTCGTCACAACCACAGATGGGACACGATTTTTCCCCGATCGCCAGAACAGACTTTTGGTGCCTGTGAAATCTCGCGCCAAAAGGTGTCACTAGCCACACATGGCAAGTGAATCATGTGACAGTCTTCTTGTGAGTACCCCTGGACATCAACGACTCTCACCCCTACATCTTTGCATGGGGCGGGCGTCATAGAGACTGGTGATGGGGACTTCTGCTGCACACATTGTAGGTAAACAAGAGTTCTATTCCCCAAAGAGGTCCAAAGGATATCGCGAAAGAGATTGTTAAATGAAAACTGTCACTACATCAGCACTGGCGTGAAGGGGAATCCTCAAACTCAGATTTAAAGCAACGCCACACGGCCGCCACCGCTAAAATTAGGTGCAGGCGGCCCACCAGCAGGCCCGGCTGGATCGGCTGGACGATCCAGTGAAAACTGTTCTTTGGCTAAAATCCGGAGACTGCGCGGACAAAGTGACTGCGCGAAAAAAAAAAGTTCTCACTTTTCTCTGTCACTTTGCCCAGCTGCATCTCATCACCACAATCTTTCTCTCACTTTCAGTGCTCTGCAATCCATCATGGTAGAGCTCTGATGCATATTTTTTTTTTTTCTTTTTTTTTTGGCCTGTTTCAAACCTTCACTAATCCATCCATTCGCTTCATTGGTAGCTTTCAGCTGCATGTTGTTTTTTCTCTCCCTCACCTCGCAATTTGAAACCAGATATCTGCTCCTTCAATCTTTTTGAACTGTTGATCAGCATTTGTCGGGTGTACTGCCCATCCAAACGCTGAATATGGCGCAAGTGAAGGATGCTCTCAAGGCTTCCCTTGTGGGAACGCCTGAGCAAGAAACCCCCATGACTGCACAAGTTAGAGCAAACTTCATGCAACATGCGCGAACAGACACTGGGACCGGGGAACTGTATATGATGGAGGAAGATTTCATCAATGCAATTGCTCCAAAGCAAGAGAACTATGTAAGATTGTTCCCAAAGAGCCAGAAGTCAAGTGACTCACACGGCATTTTGTTCCTGATAATGCTGCTTCGATCTCATGTCAGAGGCTAACGTTTGTTTCGTTGGATGACCTAGCATAAGATAAAACGGGAACAATACGGTATTCTCTTCCAGGTCGCCGATCGCCGACAAACAGGACGTGTGAACCTTGGTGACTGGGCTGCATTTGAGAGCCTCCTGGCAAAACCAGATGCTGAGTATGAAATCGCATTCCGGCTGTTTGATGCGGACAGGACTGGCACTGTCAAATGCGAAACCATCCAGAAGCTGTATAATGCAAACAAGAGCGGAGATGCGATTCCCTTCGATTGGAACTCCGAATGGGCTTCTTTGTACACTGGCAGGAAGAAGACTCGACACGACATGACCTACCCACAGTTTGCGCAGATGCTTCGGGGATTGCAGGGAGAAAGAATTCGTCAAGCCTTTCACCTCTTTGACAAAGACGGAGATGGCTATATCGAGCCAGAGGACTTCCAGCGCATCATTCTCCAGACCGCAAAGCATAAGCTTTCAGACCATTTGCTGGAAAACCTGCCAACCCTCTGCAACATTTCTACCGGTAGCAAAATTTCATACGCCAACGTCCGCGCGTTCCAGAACATCATCCGAGAGATGGATATGATCGAATACATCATTCGAAGTGCCATCAGCAAGAGCAAAGACGGCATGATCACCAAGGCTGATTTCCTGAACGAAGCTGCTCGTGTCACCCGCTTTTCTCTATTTACACCAATGGAAGCTGATATCTTGTTCCATTTCGCCGGCATGGACACACCTTCCGGAAAGCTTTCGTGGAGTGATTTCACCAAGGTGATCGATTCATCATGGCACACCACTACTGCCTTGGGAGCGGAGGCAATCGCCACGGTGTCGCATGCTACGGACCAGGCCGTGACAAAATCGAAGAAGCTATTACAAGGTCTTCTTGAATCCGTGCATCACTTCGCGTTAGGAAGCCTTGCAGGTGCCTTTGGAGCGTTCATGGTCTACCCAATTGACCTTGTGAAGACAAGAATGCAAAACCAACGGAGTGCTCGCGTCGGTGAAAAGCTGTACAACAATTCCGTTGATTGCGCAAGAAAGGTTATCCGAAATGAAGGTGTCCTCGGGTTGTACTCCGGCGTCCTGCCGCAGTTGATTGGTGTTGCTCCCGAGAAGGCAATCAAGCTCACGGTTAACGACTTGGTCCGTGGCACATTCACCGAGAAAAAGACAGGCAACATTTGGTGGCCATACGAGCTGCTTGCTGGTGGTACAGCTGGAGCCTGTCAAGTGGTAAGTTCTAAAAGACATTCATTTCTCTAGGTTTTAGCATATGCTCACGGTCATGTGTTTTTAGGTCTTCACAAACCCATTGGAAATCGTCAAGATCCGTCTGCAGGTTCAGGGAGAGATCGCAAAATCCGGACAGGCCGCCCCACGTCGATCAGCGATGTGGATCATCAAGAATCTGGGTCTCGTGGGATTGTACAAGGGAGCCAGCGCGTGTCTGCTTCGTGATGGTGAGTGAAATGTCCAACCAGAAAATGCATTATCTTTCACTGACAATGACACTCCGGCTCAGTCCCCTTCTCTGCCATCTACTTCCCCACATACGCCCATCTTAAGTCAGACTTCTTCGGCGAAACTCCCACCAAGAAGCTCGGTATCCTGCAGCTCCTCACAGCAGGCGCAATCGCAGGTATGCCTGCCGCCTACTTGACCACTCCCTGTGACGTCATCAAGACGCGTCTTCAGGTCGAGGCTCGAAAGGGAGAGACGAAGTACACGTCGCTGCGTCACTGCGCGACCACAATCCTCAAGGAAGAGGGCTTCACGGCGTTCTTCAAGGGAGGTCCCGCGCGTATTCTGCGCTCTTCTCCACAGTTCGGCTTCACTCTCGCCGCATACGAAGTTCTCCAGAAGCTGTTGCCCTTGCCTGGCGCGCCTCACGAAGATGTGACCCCCACGGGATCAGTCGAGCCTGGTATTGGCCTCCAGCCTGCCACCGCGCCATTGCCGTATCTTCGCTCGCGCAACGCGCTGAAGCTTATCCTTGACTTGGACGAGAACTTTGGACGGATCCGAGTTCCCCAGAGCAAGTCCTGGCCAGGTTTTCCCGGCGTATCGAGACAGTGAAACTTTGCATACGATTCTCCTTTTACGTTGGCTTTCTCTCGGCTCATTTGGGTTCATATTCCTCTTTCCTTTGCGAGGCCATAGATACGACTTTTAGATTCCAGAGGGCGTCGAGGGATTGCGCTTCTGATCTCCCCTTTCTTTCAATTTTTTTTTTTTTCCCCTTCCATTGGGATTGAGACGTCATTTTTTTTGACACAATTAAAAAGTTCAAGACCTTAGACCGGCAACGTCTTCCAGCGACTCCGCTCGAATTTTTGTCCGCGATCCCCCGGTTGCATTGCGCCCGTGAACCCTAATTGGGAACTGTCCGTGGGCTGCAGCCTACTATTTGTCCTCCCTCAACTTAATTTTACCGTTACGAGATAATGATGCGTGTTTTTCTCCCCCTTGTCGTACTCCTGTTTCAATATCAGATTCGTTTTTCCCTACTGTTCCAAAGATCCTTTTTGATGGCATGGTTGACTCCCTTCTATTCCGGTTTCTTAATCTTGGCTTTGTCTTGCTACGCGTGCATGTTCTCCTTTTGTGTTTTCTAGTCTGCATAGTTATGTTGTTTTCTTTTCGGTCGAGCAACGATCCCACCAGAGCAAATCAAACATCGTGAATCTTACAGGTGGGAAGAAACCATGAGAGTTAGCAGACATAGCTTCTGTCTCTTTTGTCTACCTAATTCCATATCTTGGTGTTGATTTGACACTAGAGGCTCCTTGATTTTTATACATTGAAAAATATTCTGGGCTTTTTCTTTTCCTATCGAACTTTCTCATCTAGAATTCGGATAGACGCTGCTTCATAGGCGGGCAGAGCTTCAACAGACTAGAATGGTAGTTAGTGCTATATCAACATTTCAGCTGGTGTTAAAATGGTGCCGAAGACCCTAGCATGGATGTATTAAGTGTAGCAAGTCGAGATTATGGCTGAACAACTCAATCTACGTAATTAGGTGAAAGGATACACATCGACACATACAGGGTATTTGCAACTCATATCACGAACCTTTTTTTCGTTGGACAATCTGCTTAATTACCCATCTTAAGAACCATTCTATACTGCCTTTGTACCAGCGTTTGTGTTAACATCGAACAATGCTCCATGTATGATCACCTGAATCCTCCAACGAAACCACCACTCCCTTTGTTGAATTATCCAGGATATCCTTATGATCCAAATCTGGCATGCGCTTCCGCGTATCGACGTTAAATCCAAGGAGAATAGCCAAGCTTGATGACTTCCACACTTTAGCGCCAAGGCGCCTCGCCTTTACAATTGTGGAAACCAACACGATGAGGCTGAGCCCGATGAGAGCGAGTGGAAGGGTTAGCCATTCCCACTGAACCGAGACGAATACTTCCGCAGATAACGAACTCCCCATTGCGAAATCACCGTCGCCGTAGGTGCGAATGCTAGAATATCTGTCTCAACAACCAAAGCAACTGCCGGAGTATTTTGGTCGGAGAATACTTACTTGTTGGTCATACTTGATGCGATGTTCCGCATTATGTTTGACACGGCAGTTTTGCGTTCTGACCGCGGTCGCATCTGCATTGCGGCAGCAAAGACCTGTGCTACGTCGGAGGTGTAGAGGTTTCGAGCCCTGCTTCCCTGAGTTGACGTGCCATTAAAAACGTCGTACGTCCATGTCGTGATAGCTTCACGACTTCCTTGAGGGATGATATATGCCATATCCTGGTCTTCGGGTTCGAGCCACAGCTCGAACCAGACTTTACTCAGCGTGAAAGGGTTACGATGCGAGGCGTTAGTCCGTACTTCGGTCAGTTCTGTGTGGGGTTGGCCTTGAGTTACTGTTGTGTTAACTGACAGTACGCAAAACCGAATAGCACACTCCAGTGCATTTGCCCCAATATAGAAGTCCCAATCGTAATAGTTGTTCCCACCTCCAGAGCCATAGGTAGCATTAAGATCCTTATAGACCATGAAAAAGTGGGCAACTGGTTCATTGAGGCCTGTAAACGTCATCGCCTTCCCGTTAGTTATGATCATATTCTTGTCTTTCGCCAGCGTCACATCGTTGGGCAGAGTGTACTCGCAGGTATCAATCGACCCAATCTTGTCGGGACATGTCGATTTGAGTTGGCTTGTTAGGTCTGCAACACCAGCACAGGCACCAAGTGTATAGTAAGTGGGCCATGTGCAGTTGCCAGTTGGGCATGTGGGCATAATGGCGGAAATAGTTGCATTTTCGTTTAGAAAAAGGCCAGTATATATGGCTGATTTCATGGTTGGATCCGCAAGTCCACTGTTCTCATCTGACGGAAGAGTTATAATTAACGACCAGTACCACAAACTTCTTCTATGACCACGTTTTCCTATTCGGTGACTTATGTCACTAGATTTTTGCTCACCTGTATGTGCAGGACTGGAGACGACGGTATAATTTTGGACCCGTCGGACAGTCGCAGTTTCCGAGGAGGGAACCATTCTCAGGGGATAAGTCACGACCTGTTGAGTCATTGGGCCAAAGGCTATATTCCCGGAGATTATAATGAGAGCTCCTACTATGACCAAATGCCTGGAGAAAACAAGGATTAGCCAGTAGTTAATACAATGATTACTTTATGTATAACGAAGCGAGTATACCTAAAGAAATGGAAGTGGAAAAGTAGTTTGAAGCTGCCCTCCACTCCTCGACTGGCTTCGTCAAAGGCATTAAAATCGCTTAGGCGATGCGGTTTTTTAGCGAACCACATCTATTTGAGCTGGCTGATACTTGCTGTGACAGGGACAAGCATCGCCATCTGCGAGATCGTTCCGAACACCGAGATAGCTGCGTTGATAGTGATCCCCAAGGGCCACTGAGGCAACGCTTTGCCGTTATACACCCGGAGAATGATGATGACAGCCATCATCGATGCAAAAGATACTAACCAACAGAAAAACTCCCATGCCCAGGTTCGTGTGGATAAACGTTTGAGTTTTCGAATCAATTTCTGGCGTTTTCTCTCAGGATTCATGCTCACCAACGCGTCTGTAGCACCATCTTGCTTATCACAATGCTGAGGACCCGTCTCTGTAGCTTCTGGTCTCATACACGGAGCTTTCGGTTCTACATGACTGCCACATTCGGCGGCTGGAGCTTCTATGGGTGAGGGCTCCGTGGTTTCATCATTTCGGGCTCCACCACTCTGTTGTAAGATTTGATAGTCGTTTGTATCCAATGTGCTAATCGAGATAGACTCTCTGTCCGGAGAAAGAGGGCTGCTTCTCTGCTGTCTATCAGAGGTATCTGGTTCGAGGCAAGCACTCGGGGGAGTTTCCTCCTGCGGGTCAACTTGCATGCTGCAGAATATTATCCAGCATGAGAAATGTATCAATGAATGGCGACTTCTTGTTTTGCGGTCCTCAAAATATTAGGTGAAATGGTAGCAGCTTGGGTCCCTCGTGGTCGCGATCAGGCTGAGAATATGAACACTTAGAAGCACACAGCCTTGCGCTCAGTGGTTAAATTGATACGGCTCTGGAGCTGCTCTCTCGTTGGCTCGCTTGAAGTCATGATTGGTGGAGAGATGGCGGATAGGCCGTTATTGGTCCTTTATACTCCGTATTGAAAAGCTCATTGCTCTAATGCAAGACGACCAAAGGCGGGCGAGGGACGCGGTGCCCCGCAGTAATTCTTTAGATTAGGGAGTGTTCCAGATTCTGATATAATATTTTCCGAGGAGTAGTTAACATAGTGTAATCTGTATTACCCCGTCTGGAGCAGCAATCGTTGGGTTCCATAGTGGATCCTTCCGTCTTACTACCGAGCCGCCGCTAGGAATGATAAGGAGCTGCCGTATAATGATTCTTCTGAGATGGGTGTGACGGTTTACCATCCTTAATTCCCCAATTCCTCGGGGTAGCGGGGGGAGGCTGCTCCATCGATATGGCAAAAGAGCGAGCCTGTCCTGGATCCTCGACACGAAAAGACCGGGTTACGATTGGAAAAAAGGCTACTCAAAACAAGGGCCGAAGAGTCTTGCGATAAGGATCGTTAGGGTGTGAAAGCACATTTCGCTACCTTGTACAGAGGAGATAGAACCGTGATCATTCGTTACTCGATTTTCTTGATGTCTGTGCGATGTTCAGAGCTCAAGAAATCGAGCGACGAGACAAACAAAAGCCCAAGCCACTCTTGTGGCGGCGAGATGCCCCGGACATTTAACTACATAGTTAGTTATGGCCATAGCAGAAATGGGGAGGATTTGTAAACCGTAGATCCACTAGTCCCGATATGTTTATGTCAGAATATATGTTTATCCAAATCCACGGTTGTTTGGAAGTTTAAAAATATATACATTCCAAATTCAGAAATATAGCTTCTGATCCTCAACATAGAAATCAGGAAACATTGAAACCCCTGATCAACAAATATATCTAGGAACATTCAGGATACCTTTTTGGGTTTATAAATGTGGAGGGAAACCATTATAGTATAGAAACCATTATAGTATAGAAACCATTATAGTATAGAAACCATTATAGTATAGAAACCATTATAGTATAGTTACTCCAGCAGACACTGGAGAGAGAAATTGGATTTCAACTAATGCACAATACTACATACATCAAACTGTCTGATCCACCTATAAAAAGGAAATGCTCCAAGTGCAGTTGAGAAAGATAATCAGCAGAGCAGAATCTAGTTCAAGTCTTTCAGAATCTTTGCTGATAGATATAGTGTAAAGGCTTGGTTTGCAGATTGCAGGTAGGTTAATTATATGAATCTCATCCTGATTCATCTGCAAAATCAGCAAATCCAGTACCCTCTTGTGCCAAATTTCATGAGCAAAGAACATGGCAAAAAAAACCCTTCAGCAGCTGCTCTGGTTGTGGGTGAATATGCACCTTATTTGCCCAATCTTGATGCCCAATGCACAAGTATACTTAACCAGATCATCAAGTTTCAATGTAGTGCAATGTGCATCTCCATTGAATGTAAAGATTAGCTTTTGAAATAATCAGATTGGGGTCAAACCTCTGCCAAGCATATGTTAATATACCCAATCATTGCTGTATGAAAGTCAGAGCTTTTGCAAAAAGAAATGTGTAACTGGTAGTTCAGAAAGTCATGTGCTTTGTAAACCAAGCAATTCTATAACTTTATAGCTAGCTGGTAGTCAGCAGTAGGCATTGATTAAGGTATGGAAGAGAGTGGTAGTATATGAATTATTGGCTTCATCAGCATTCTTATCATTATCTTGTTGCTTATTGTGTTCCAATCACACAAGGTCTTGCATGAGAATTAGACATTCACAATGAAGTTGCTTCATCTGGCTGGTGATATAGGGTTCCAATTCCATAAGAGCCCCATCAAGAGTCAAGAATATAGTGTGTTTGAAGCTCTCATAAATCAGTAAAATCTTTTCAACATCATGCTTGTTGGTTTGCTGCACAAATGCTTTGTATTCACAGTGTTTATCCTCCCTAATCAGTATATTGCAGTTATTTGGCACAGCATACTTCTTTGCCTGGTCAGCATAGTGCACCCCAATATGCATGTTTGGTCAGTGTTTCAAAGTATGTAACATCTTATCTACTTTCAGAGCAATACTGACAGTGTTGATTGAAATATTCTCTGTCAGGGGTGTAACAATCTGATTGAACACTGGTGAATTCTGCTGTAATCTCAGTATTCATACTGCCCAGCTAGCCAACTGTAGTGCCTCAGCAGTCATGATAGTAGCATCTATTGGAGCGGGGTACGATGGGATGCCTTGTCAAAGTAGGCGAGTTGGTTGATATGGTGAGAGCACAAGAAAGGTGAAAAATCACCATATAGTAAGGGTATGGTTGAGTAGTAAGTGTAGAGATAGATATGTTCTAACAGATGCCTAAGCTTGCAAGGAGTAATAGTACTAAAGAGCTCTGTACTAACACAGGCAGCTCTAATGAGAAACAGTAGCACATTTCATGAACAAGAAATCTTCATATTCTCTAACTAATAGCTGAACTGGTAGTAAGGAATGAGTGTATAGAAAAGAGCAATGGTGCATGAAGATAATAAGCAAGATGCAGAGGCTACAGGTGGTTTATATAGCTCAAGAATAGTAGCTTTAGAGTGGTTTGTGCCTTGGACTGGAATAATCTTTGTTCTAATGAGATACCAGAATCCCCACTACATTTCCTCCTGACCTTCAATGTTGGTGTCCTCTGACAACAAACAATATATAAAATAAAACAAAACCAATTTAGTAAAATAAGAGAATAATAAATAGTAATGAGCAGTCTGGTAAGGAAAAACATAGGAAATAAGAATAAGGAGAGTGATAGCAGCAATCTCTAATAGTGATCACCATGATCCTCTTCTTTCATCAAGTTCTCAGAAGGAGAAGAAGGCTGAACTGACACTGGGTCAATGTTGTTGTGCACACAATGCCAGTAGAATTTATTACCAAAAGCTTTCTTTTCAATTTGATAAGTCTTGACAATGATATTCAGAGCAATTCATGTGGCCTTTAGGTGCCAGTTATTAATGAAGTCCTGAGTCTTTTTGTCATCAGGGCCAAAGAGAATATCAAGTTCCTCAATTACCATAAGGTTGTCCCACCTAATTCATCCTACCAGGGCATCTGATATAGCTTCTAAGCCTTGTAATTGAATAGCAGTAGGGAATCAATATGGAACTGATGTGTAATGATTTAAATGGCTGGATGGAGACAAAGGCCCTGAAACTAGATCTCTATATACAGTGGAGAGCTGGGACCATGTACTAGCTTTATTGACTTCTAGATGTTCATGGTCCTCTTGGATTGCCACATATCAGGATAGCATAGTGTGTCAGACCTTTTTGCATGGACCATGGGCTCCATGAAGTAGCAGAGAGCTTGTAATTCAGACATTGTTAGATTTGCAAATGACATTGGTCCATCTAATACCAAATTTTCTTTTGTCATCTTTGATATACATTGTATCTTTAATGCAGTGAACATAGTTATCAGTGGATAAGTCTTGTTCTTTGACTAGTTCCCACCAATTCTCTAGATGATTATGCATTCCTGGCAAGATTTCTGTACAGTTGCCAGGCTCTTCTGCAGTTAAGATCAAGGATTCTTGTATCATGTTAATGCCCCTTCCAGTAGTAATAGCATCTGGAACATTAACATTAATATGGTGAAACCCAGTTTTATCCCCTGGCTTAGCATACTTGATGTAGTATGGATAGGAGATTAATTTTCAAGCATGGTTGGGTCTTGTTAGTATGTACCATAGATAGTATGCAGGGTCCTGGTGCATAAGTTGTTGGCTGATACTGTAATACATTGTTCTCAACCATCTGTAATTGTTGCAACCTCCCATCATTCACTGATGATGGTAGTACATGTTGTATTCACCATTGACCTGGGTGAGTACTGTGATGGTGGCATCTTGTAACTTATTGTTCCACCAGTGCATTAGCTGGAGAATGACAACAGATCCAGTTGTTTCCCATTTCTTCTGAAGATTGCTGGTGGTGAACTTGTTAACTCCAGTTATTCACATATATTGATTGAAGTTGAATGTTCTCATGTTTGCAACCAGAGAGATAATTGGCTGATGTTTGAATTTGTAAATACCTAAAGCATCTTCAGCTCTAGCTGGTCTATTTGCCAAACAGAACCAGAGATAGATGCTGTCATTGGTCTTGACTGAGCTAATATTATGATGATTCCTATAGATGTAAGCCAAACAGTTGAGAAGCTCCTCTCTATTAAGTGTGCAAGTCTGTAAACCAAGTTTTGAAGCCATTAGTTTAGTATGGTTATAGTATAGATAGATGTCAGCTTTCTTATCACTAAAGGCCTTTTCTAACTGCTCCAGAATGTGAATAAGCTCCAACTCTGAATGTATTTTAGTACTCTTTATCTTTTGGAGAAGCTGCTGTTCAAAACCACAGCAATAGCAAGTATCAGAGCACACTGCCATGACAGATTCTTCTTGTTCATATTGGGGTATTTCCTTGTCACTTTTAGGAGGAATAACAGACTCATCTTTGTCATCTAGGCCTTGGAGAGTTTGGTGTGCTGACATGGCTGTGATTCTTTCACTGCAGCACTTTGGAGCTTCTGATTGGCTGGGTGGATTGGCCAGTGTGCTGGTGAATCCAAATGGTGGCTGTGATTGGCCAGTTTCCAATCCACACAATCTAATCAACATTGTACTATGTATAGAGGCTCCTGATACATTGCAGCTATGCAGCATTAACATCCCACCCATTGGAATATCTCTTGATAATCTTGGTGACTGTGGTTCTTCTAGTAGATCTCAGAGGCTGCTTGCAGTGGGAGGGCTTCTAGTGATATCCTGAATTGAATGTTGGGAGCTAGATGACTGTGGAAGAGCCAACAGCTGTAGAAGACTGTAGTTTCCAATAGTCAGTTCTTGTTGGTGTAGGATATCTCTTGAAGAAAGTTCACAAGCACAATTAACTTCTTTGTCAGCTGTAGTATAATCACCTGACAATATAGCTAAGCTTCAGTAATGTCCAGCTCCTGTAGCATCTAGTCTTTGGAGCACTGCACTGTTAATATTGTTGGCAAACTTATCCCAATTCTTATAGACATTTAGAGTATGGTGAAGCTTTTGTGCAGCCCACAGACTCTCTACTTTTAGCTATATGGCATCAATTCTGTCTATCCTCCATGTAGCAACAAGCCTATTCTTGATCTTTTGCATATCAATGTGATATTATTTGACATCCAGAGTAACCTTTCAAGCATCATGGAAATCAGCTTCAAAATTGGTATATATAACATGTTGCCAAGCTCTGGATCTTTCAACATATTGATAGAAATGGGCCACTAAGTTAGTGACTACATCAGTCACTTGCATAAGTGTGTTCATCAACTCAACTTGTAGACCATATCAACAGTGCAGAGCTTGGTTATTAATGTATTTCATAGCTGCTGTTAGATTATTGAAGAAATGGCCATCCAAGTTGACTCCACTGTCTCTGGTAACAACCAGGCCTTGGTTTTTGGTTGCTAGTGCTAAAGAAGGCAGGTTGCTTCATCCAGCCATTTTTGAAGAATATCAGAGATCAAGAAATTTGCAAATGTCAGAATAACAGAATAGAAGGAAATGTTGAATCTGTAAAAAGAATC